AAGAAATCAGTGTGTCAAACACTATCCTCACAACACCCTGCAGGTTTACTGGAGACCACTTTATTAGAATGTTTTATATCTCTGTCCAGGGGTGGACCTGGCTATGGACCTACCAACGACCCACCCCCTGGACTCCAGACCAAGGCTCCCTCTAAGCTGTGGAGTCCTGTGAGCAAAAATTCTACTTGGTGAGCTCCTGGCATTAAAGTGGCGAGCGAGCGATTTGGCTGCTGCATGAATTCGTTTGCTCTGGAGCCCTCCTTCCTGAGCTGAGACAAAAATCTGTGAGCCGGAGGCTAAAAAACTGTGAGCTGGCTCACACTAACTCAGCTTAGAGGGAACACTGCTCCAGACCCATGTCTGAGGGAAAAGAAACCAACGGCAGCCATGAGAGTGGCCACTTCAGACTCACCACAGCTGGCAGGGACTCAGCATGGGCCCCAGAGGACTGGACAGGCAGCAGAGGGGAGGGCAGTGGGCATGGCAGCATCACGTCTCCAAGAGGAGCAGCCAGCCAGTGAGGAGAAGGCAGAACCAGCGGCTCAGGCAAGCACTTGGAACGGTTAGGCCCGCAGGTGGGAATTTCCATTCAGGCAGGCCTCCTGAGTCAGCCATGGCCATAATTCTTTAAAGCACCCCACCCCCAGTGCAGGTTCACTGGCAGAAGTAAGAGATGACCCCATAGTCTTCGAGGAGCAAGGGCCGTTCTGAACAAACTTGACTCCCAAAATAGCTCTCTTTGCCTGTGCTCTTACATGCACGTTGGTCCAACTGGCCCAAACGCCGCTTGTTTGCACGGAGCCCATTTCTATCCCAGAATACTTGACAAGGAACAATATGGAGTGCACAGCTGGTCGACACAAGTGTCCCAAAAGCAACATCTGTTAGCTTTCTGGCGCAGTTCGCCAGCATCTTTTGTTTATTATAACTTTATACCCCCCATAAGGGTGTATGAAAATAGCACAGAACAGAGTATTATGAAACATCGGGGAAAGAGCTACTTCTTGGCCTATGCACTTGGACGCTTCCCTGCATTTTTATACAAGGCCTCACTGTGGACTGTGCTTGCCACAACGGCACTTCATTTTAAAGCACTGAAATTGTCTATGGTCATATTGTCTCCAGGGCTCACTGGACATCTGGTGAAAGAAACCTTAAGCCTATTTTCAGGTCAAGTCATTTTTAAGGGCCTAACTAGTGGGAGCAATACTGCACTAACAGTGTCCATACTAAGAAGGGCTTCACTCCTTGCAGAGGATAGCTGTGTTGGCCTGCAGTAGAACACCTAGATCTGAGTCCAGTAGCAACTTAGAGACCAACAAGGTTTTGGGGGTTTGCGCTTTGGAGAATCAAAGCTCCTTTCACGGGCTAAAATCTAGCTGCACTCCTCCTTAAGTTCACTGGAAGTCAAGGGCTCAGAGTGGAGTGACTGCATAGCATGGCCCTGTTCGTCTTTTTTAAAAACAAAGAACCAGCAAGCCACTCCCAATATCACAAGGTTCAGCTTCTGATTCTTCAGGGTATATTCAGTCTGTATTTTAATCTCTACCCTTAGAACAGATCTCTGGGACTCATTGCCACAAGATGGGATACATCGGCTTCACTAAAAAAAAACCACACTAGTTCACAGCCCCCTTCCCCATTCATTTTTACCTAAAGAAACAGAAGAAGAAGAGGAGATTGGAGTTATTGATACCCCGCCGTTCCCTCGGAGTCTCAGAGTGGCTTACAAACTCCTTTCCCTTCCTCTCCCCACAACAGACACCCTGTGAGGTGGGTGGGGCTGGGAGAGCTCTGACAGAAACTGCTCTTTTCAAGAACAGCTCTGAGAGAACTATGGCTTGCTCAAGGTCATCAAGCCAGGTGCAAGTGGAGGAGTGGGGAATCAAACCCGGTTCTCCCAGATTAGACTCCGCGCACTTAACCACTACACCAAACTGGCTCTCCAGATACACACTAGGCGGCACCTTGGGTTCATAGCTCAGCCCCAGCACATCTGATACACCAAGAAAACCAAATTCTAAGCTAGCCATTCTGCAAAAAAAAAAAGTCTCTGTCAGCTGAATTACTGACCTTCTAAAGGACTTAAGCATATTTGCTTGCACCATGGCCAGTGGCTAAGACAATAAACGAAACCAAGGTACTGCTGAAATAAAGGGGTTGGCAGAAAACAAAAGAATTTGGTTTGGGGGAGGGGGACCCAGTGTCCAGGGGCAGCAATCAGACTACTGTGTTCTAGCGGAGGTGCCACAGGCCCAATGATTCACGCATTAAATCTTTTCCTACGAAAAAGGCTTTTCTAGGCTCAAGAGGGACTACTGTCTAAAAGAGCCTCCTACACCAGAAGAAGAAGAGAAGAAGAGATTGGATTTATACTCCGCCCTTCACTACCCAAAGGTGTCTCAAAGCGGCTTACAAACTCCTTTCCCTTCCCCTCCCCACAACAGACACCCTGTGAGGTCGGTGGGGCTGAGAGAACTCTTGACAGAAACGGCTCTTTTTCAAGAACAGCTGTGCCAGAGTTATGGCTTGCCCAAGGTCATCCAGCCAGGTGCAAGTGGAGGAGTGGGGAATCAAACCTGGTTCTCCCAGATTAGAGTCCGTGCACTTAACCACAACACCAGTGCTGATCTGACTTGGGATTGTCTGTCATGGGGAATAGATCCTCACTGCACCTCTCCTTAACATGTGGCTCAGTAATCCATGCCCCTCATCGGAAGTTCTGACGGGCCTACACTAGGGGTGCAGGGTATGACAGCTGTTGGCACACTTACAAAGTGGTTTGTATTTCTTGTGTTTTTATAGTTTTCCAAGGCACATCACTTATCATATTTGGGAAAACTGGATTTATTTGGTCAATGTTAATTCACTCACAAGTTATTTCTGTTTTGTTATCGATCAATAGAAACAGAAACACTATCAGTGAAGGAAAACAGCTTGCAACAGACTACTTAGTTTCACCAAACAGCTCTGTTTAGTTTAAAAAAACATGAGTGCTCTAAGTGGAATCGTAGTCCTATTCAAAAGTAGCTTCTGATTTGTCAAAAGCTAAAAAGTTAGCACCGCTGTTGGTATGAAAATTATAACTGTCCACATGTTAACAGTAACCTGAGAGTAGGAAAACTGAACATGGAAGCAAATATTCAACTCTGCTCTATCAGTAAGTCTCCAAAATCCCAGTGAAGACTGTTCTTCTGTGCTTCCTGTTTCTGAAGGTGTCACAAAGGCTTTCACTTTGTTGAAATCCCACACGTTGTGAATGGTGGAATTATTCAGGAGGGCTTATGTTTGTTAGTTTTTATGGATTTTTAATGGTTTCATCGTTATAACTCGACTTCAACCTAGTTTCGGAGACAGGAGGGCAAAAATGCTTTAACTAAAAACAAACAAACAAATCTCTTAACTCTTGTGACTTCTCTGACCTTCTACTTTCAGGAACCTACACTGGGAAAGCCTGGAAACATTCCTTCCATCTGAAATTTTCTTTCTTTCACTTTTTGCTTGATGGGAGTGATTTGTAACCCTTTAGGATATCTGGCTGCCATACTTTATTAGCAAACATTAGGACAGATTTTTCAGATTCAAATGTACATAACATGACAATTACTTGTACGAACATAAGAGAAGCCAATGTTGGATCAGGCCAATGGCCCATCTAGTCCAACACTCTGTCGCACAGTGGCCAAAAATACCAGGTGCCATCAGGAGGTCCTCCAGTGGGGCCAGGACACTAGAAGCCCTCCCACTGTTGCCCCCCCCCCCAGCACCAAGACTACAGAGCATCCCTTGCCCCAGACTGAGAGTTCCTGTCTATACCTTGTGGCTAATACCCACTGATGGACCTCTGCTCCATACGTTTATCCAATTCCCTATAACAAGATGTATCATATCTTGTTATAAATGTGCCAAAGAAAGCCAGTTAATCATTGTTCTCAAACCATCAGTGACAAAGGATAGGTGGTGGTGGAAAGGAGGTCCCGTCAGTGTGGGGGGGAAACTGCTTAAGCCTTCCCAGAACATATGTGCTCAGTATTCCTAGCAAAATAAAAACAATCCAATTCAAACTTATTTTTTAAAAGATCCCAATGGAGACAGCATAAGAGTGTGCTAGAAAAACTGGCTTTAGAACAGGGAAAACACTAGTCATAGCTGGAACCTTGTCAAATCTGAAAAGGCATAAGCATCTCAGAGGCCACTTTTGGGTCTCAGTTCATCCACACACTGTTCAGATGAGCTGCAGTCCTGTTGGCCCATGACAAAGAAGGAGAAGAGACTGGAATTAAAACCCAGCCTTCACTACCCAAAGGAGTCTCAGAACAGTTTACAATCTCTTTTCCCTTCCCCTCCCCACAACAGACACCCGGTGAAGTAGGTGGGGCTGAGAGAGCTCTTCCGAGAACTGCTTGTGAGAGAACAGCTCTGAAAGAACTTATGACTGACCCAAGGTCACACCAGCGGCTGCATGGAGAGGAGTGAGGAATCAAACCCAGTTCTCCCAGATCAGAGTCCATGCTCCTAACCACTATACCAAAGTGAGTTAGGCATTCATATTAAAGATTTTCAGTAACCAAGCAGTTCCTGAACTGTCCTCTGGAAATCTGATTTCAAACTCAATCTCTGCCACAGGATCATGGAAGCAGGTATTTTCTCCCTGAATCAGACATCTGTGAAACGAGACCCTTAGCTACCTCACAACACTTGGTGTCTCTGAACAGAGATGTCACAACCTGCGGTTTGCCATAACATCTTGCAAGAGAGAATGTGGAACAGGGTCTCTCGTAAGAATACCCTAAAGCAACACTGAAGTATTTATATGGCTGTCCCAACTACCCTGGGCATAGGAAATCAAATAAAAGTTCTCAGCTCATAATGATGCCTAGAGCTCTACTTGAATGACAAAACAGAGGTTGGGGAAAGTGATCATTATGATCAACACAGACAAGGAACAGGGATGCTTATGAGCACAACACTGACGATTGTGTGCAGCCAGATGAACCAACCTGGTGTTGACGGTCTTTCCAGCATGTTCAAATGATGGTAGATAAAAGCCTGACTGTCATGAACAGTGTCCATATCAATCTCTTCCTCCTCTTGAGAGTTTGAGAACTAGAAGAGAAAGAAGCACAATCCAGTTGCTTGGGGAGCACCAATTAATGCACTTTAACTGCTGCCCTCCCAAAACACCCTTTCTGCCCCAGCTGCTTTCCTTATCTGTTTTACCCTCTTGCCCCCTGCCCGTGAAGCGGCCTGCAGTCTGTAAGGGGACAAATTGATATACACCATCTTTTTGTTTGAAATTTTTTATTAATGTTTTAATTGTTTTATCTTGATGTTTTTATGAATGATGTACATTGCCCAGAGCTGCAGGGATTGAGCAACTAACAAATTAATTAATTAAATAAATAAATAAATAAAAACTATTCCAGGGAGAACATGCAAATCAACTCCTTCCCACCTCCCAGTACTGAAATGGACAGGTTCAGTCATGCTTGAGTCTGCACAGGATGGGATGCAAAATTCATTTTCGTCTTAAATCCTACATGGGTTACAACCAATGCTCCCTCTAAGCTGAGGAGTCTTGTGAGCAAAAATTCTACTTTGTGAGCTAGTGGCATTAAAGTTGTGAGCGAGCGATTTGTTAGCTGCATAAATAAGTTTGCTCTGGAGCCAGCTTTCCTGAGTTAAGACAAAAATGTGTGAGCTGGAGGCTAAAAAATGGTGAGCTCTCTCACAATAACTCAGCTTAGAGGGAACATTGGTTACAACAATTTTTCATGGTTGTCCATTGTCATCTTGGTCTCCAGCATTGTCATCTTGGTCTCCAGCATCCAGCTTGTAGAGCAAGGCATTTCTTAAGGATAGCTGGGTGGGGGGAACGTTGGGTCCTGGCCGTTCCCCGTTATGGTGTTCTGTGGTGTAAGTAAAGCCAGATTTCAATCTGCCCAGGGAGGTATCAAGAGTTAGGCATGAGTTTGTTGCCCTCCTTCTTTCGCAGTTTGTATTTCAAAAAGGGGTGGGATCTCTCACAACAGTCAGGAGCAGGATGGGACTGGGGGCCAGTGCTAAGAGGCTTCGAGGGGGACTGACTGGCTACTACCCTCCAACCACCCAAAGCTCAAAGCCTGCCTGCCACTCACTCACCCTTATCTTGAGTTTGACTTTACTGTCTTCGATCTTCTCCAGGATCTGGCCTGGTTCCAGAGGCGACCCCAGGGGCGTGTCAGCTTTCCTCTTCAGCCCTTGCTGGTAAGCAGGAGGCATGGCTACCATTTCTTTAACAAGATGATCATGCTCCTGAGGAAACAAGAAAATCTTCAGATAGCCCCAAAACACTGTCAAACCCCACTGGCAGCGCAGTATGGACCTTGAGATAATTCAGCCAATGCCACAAGAGGGGAATTGCTGCAGAAGTGGTTCCGAATACCTGGAAGCAAAACTTGGACGGAGCACCAGTGCTATTGCTCCTACTAAACGAAAACAAACAAAACAAAACCTTGTCCCAAACCCAGGACATTCTGAACAATGACAATTCTTATGGAATGAAGTTTGATTTATGTCTGGCATTGCAAAGAGCAACAGAACAGTAGAGAGGGACTTCTTAGTTGTGGCACCAAAATTATGGGACTCAGGAATATTCATTCCGTTCTATCACTTGTTTCATCGGGTGTTTCCTCAGTGACCCAGGGTTGTCAACCTCCAGGTGGGGCCTGGAAACCTCCCAGTATTATACCTGATCTTCAGATGACCCCCCCCACCCCTCTTTCCAGCCCTATGTTTTAACAGCTGTTCCTGCAGCCTAATATTAGGTATTTTAGTTTTGGATTAATGATCTTCGTTTAATCACACAGCCACCTTAGTGAACATGATTGGGCAGAAAGGCAGCATATATATTTTGTAAATAAACAGACAAAGGGCGAGATGAAGCAAAAAGAGATAAAGATGGAGATGCCAGGAAGCCAGACTGTGCTTGGTAAACTGAGAAACAATGAGTTTGGGGGAGGGCTGTACGACAACTGCTTACGGTGCTCTGGAAGCCAATGAGCTGTCCCAGATTGTTTGGGTTGCTAGCCATTTCCGGGCCACTTGACCCCGTCTCAGGAATGATGGTGGGGTTCAGCACAGCTTTCTTTTCTTTTAGGTTAAGGACCAACCCAAGTTCTGGAAGCGGCAAACAGGAAGGCCTGCTGAGACCGAACAGCGTGTAGTACAGGTCAACAGCACCACACCGCAGCCGCCAGTCGTGGGATGTACCTACAAAACCAAGAGGAGAGCAAAGTCATCTTCACACACTATCTTGTGTAATGTTTAATGCCCATTCTATTGCTACCTGTATGTGTCTACTGCAACTCCATGGGAGTGCAGGAAAAAACCCAGAATGTGGTACCAAGTGCAAGCTTCCATGTCCTGGGAACTAAAGCTTCCTTCCTTCCTTCCTTCCTTCCTTCCTTCCCATGCTTAGACCTCATGGGTGTTTAAGATTTCCCATGGCTGGGTGGCAGGACTTCAGTATCCTGCATCTTACCCATATTCATGATCAGCAAATTCAGAACAAATTACGCGAAATGAGCCAGTTTGCATATTTTCACCTTAAGCTGCATCATTCATACAAGTCACAAAATTTCTCAGCACAGGATGGGATTTACCTTGGCTCATAATTTTGATATGTGTATATATACACACACATACATAGAGCCCTGGCTCATCATAACCTCTTGTCTTGCCATAAGAATATAAAAGGTGCGTGCCCTGTTGGAGTAGATCAGTGATTCATCTAGTCCAGCATCCTGTTCCACACAGCAGCCAACTAACAGGGCACAGAGCCCAAAGCCTTCCTGTGACGCTGCCTCCTAGCACCGATACTGTCTCTAGAAATGAGGGTTCCCTTTCACCATCATCACGGCAAGCAGCCATTGATGGCCCTATCCTCCATAAATCTGTTTATAATCCTCTTTTAAAGCTATGTATGGTACAGGCCATCACGATATCCATACAATTTATTTACTCATTGAGTGAAATCCTTTTGTCCTTCCACAATTTATTGCCCAACAACTTCACTGGCTGCTCCAGACTTCTAACTGTTTAACTTATCAGGATTACTTTAACATAAAGGTGTATAACAAAACAAAGTCTGAGTCCAGTGGCACCTTTAAGACCAACACAGTTTTATTCAAGGTACAAGCATTCATGTATAAGCTTGACGGGACTCAAACTTTGTTCTGCTGCTTCAGACCGGCTACCCACCTGGGTGTATAACAAAGTTTGCGTCCAGGAACACCTTTCAGACCAACAAAGTTTTATTTGAGGTATAAGCTTTTGTGTGCAAGCACACTTCTTTACTATCTGAAGAAGTATGCTTGTACACAAATGCTTGTACCTCGAATGAAACTTCGTTGGTCTGAAAGGTGCTACTAGACTAGACTCAAATTTTGTTCTGCTGCTAACACGGATACCAATCTGAATAAAGGTGTACACACACACACACACCTCCCCCCAAAGAGAGGTGTCTCAGACTGGTGTTTGAAAACAACAGATTTGAAGATTGCACCCAGCTATTCTGAAGCACCAATCTCAAATTCTGCTGCTCAGTTTTGCGGTCTCCCCGTCTTTATTCTGCCCGTGCCCAACTCAGCTGTTGTAAAAGAAACACAGCCATGACAGACAGATGCAAGACCAACAGCATCTTAGAAACCAAAAGATTTTGGGGATATAACCTTTCGAGAGTTAAAGCTCCCTTCACCAGGTACGAGTTGCAGGATCTACAACAGACATATTTGGAATTACAATACCCACCTGATGTAGCAAAGCAAGGATCCCCCAACCCTTTTAGCGCTTGCGGGCACATTTGGAATTCTGACACAGCATGGTGGGTGCAGCAACAAAAATGCTGCCACGGGTGGTGAAAGCAGCCACAAAACGATTGCCACAGCTTAACTTCAGTAACAGTGTGGATCCTTGTGCTGTGGCGGCAGCTGCTGCCAAAGCAACATTTAAAAGAATCTGCACAGTCAATCAAATTTCCAGTAGTCAATCAGAAGCCTTGCTGGGCAAAATCCCTACCTGGCCCCACCTGCTTCCTAAAAGCACGTGGCAGATGCCAGAAAAGGGGTCAGCGAGCGCTATGGTGCCCAGAGGCACCCTGCTGGGGACCCTTGTAGTAAGGAAACAGATCAACAAAGCCAGAATGATGCAAAGAGACAACCTGGTTCTCTGGGATAAAAGCAAGCTTATAAATTTTCTTAAATAAAAGTGATTAATGATATATAGGGTTGTCAGATCCTACCTGGCTGCCAACGGGTGTGTGTGTGTGTGTGTGTCTCCCAATCCTTCCTTGAGTTCTTTTGGCATGCTCTAGGTTTTGAGCAAAACTCTATGGTTTTGTGGGCCTCAAAACCATAGAGTTTTGCCCAAAACCTAGAGCGTCGCCCCCAGTGTCGGAAACACAATGACATAACTCCTGGGTGACATCATTGTACTGCTGGTGCCGGGAGGGGGCTTCTCAGGGTGCGGCTTTCCCCGCCATCCAGCTGGGCTGTGGGAGATTGGGACCCCCAAAATCAGGGCATCCCCTAGTTTCACCGGGGGAATGGCAACCCAAATGGCATACATTCTGCCATGACTGTATTATCATTTTTACTAACTTTATTTCAGACTCCAAACAATTGCAATTTAAGTAGAACAATCATCCTGCTTTCCAAGCCTGGATTTAAAAAACACAAAAAACACACACAAAGAAACTAGGTCATCTCCCAAATAAAGGGAACTGCACAGAACAAGACGACACAAATTGATACAGGGGCCTGCAGCAGAATAAACTGCATGTTCCAGCACAGCTATTATCAGGGGAGAAAAAGCAGTCTTGGAAAGAATCCATGCCTTGACGAAGTCTAGCTTGAGAAGATGGCTGGCGTTCCACAGCACAGACAGCCATTTGCAATGCTGAAGTCGTTAAATCACTCTGGATCAAACTTGCAGTTTTACCACCTGGCCTTTCTTCTGCATACTGGTCTTCTCCTACAGCATACTACATAGATATTGATAATATGCTGGTTTTCCCCCAAATGCTCTGTAAAACGCAGAAGGCCAGAATTTGCCGCAGAGATCCCAAATTCTCTTTGGTGCAGCCCAAAGGCTCTTGTTAAAACAATGAGCATCCCAGCAGCCTTTGTTCACTTAGGCTTTTTTTAAACTGGCCTTTTCTGACCTGCAGGGGGCCCCCCCCACCGCAAAGTTGCATCTCTGAGGCTTGTTTCTTTTTTTAAAAAAACAACAACAAAACAAAACCAGTAAGTTTAAAAAGAAACGTGTTATTTGGGGCCAGTGGGAGACCATCTGAAAGCCACAGGAGTCATTTAAAAAACCATGCAAATGCATAACACACCTCTCTCGACTGGAGGCTGAATCTCAGAGGCATGTATACAACACACACTCAGGGGGGGGGGGGTCCCTTTCCTGTTTAAGACCTTCAGTGCTACACTCACTGAAACAAAATTCACTGGTGGCGTGCAGAGAAACCAGTTAAGACTGCCGCCTTTGCACTCTGAATCGCCACATAGATCACTAAGTTGGAGAACTATCCCTGTGATTTCCCGGACAATATGGAACGTTTACTTAAATCACGTACCAATTATAAGTTTGGGGTAGTCACTGCAGAGGCATCTTTAAGAGGGCTAGAACCCCCAGGCTTCTGAGGGCACCCACAGAGGAGACCTGCAGATATGCCAAATGTGCACATGAAAGCACTCTTTGTTACGCAGAGCAATATGGCAGCCACCTCCCTCTCATGAAGCTGCCCTTACACTGAACCAGGTCATTACTGGCCACTCAGACTGGCATCGGCTCTCCACAAGAACATCAGGAGAGCCCTGCTGAATCAGACCAGCGGTCCATCTAGTCCAGCATCCCGTCTCACACAGTGGCCAAGCAGTTCCTCTGGTGGTCCAACAATAGGGTTGCCAGGTCTGGGTTGGAAAATACCTGGAGACCTTGGGGGTGAATCTGGGAGAGGGTGGGGTTTGGGGATGGGAGGGGCCTCAGTGTGTTACAATGCCATAGAGCCCACCCTTCAAAACAGCCATTTTCTCCAGGGGAGCTGATTTCTGTCAGCTGAAGAATAGTTATAAAAGCAGGAGATCTCCAGGCCCCACCTGGAGGCTGGCAACCCTATCCAACAATAGGGCATAGAGGCTGAGGCCTTTCCCTGATGTTACCAACATCATACTTCATTTGCCAAATGGTTGCTCGTCCACTTAATTTGTGGAGATCCTCTTGGTGCTCTTCACAGCCATCCTCCAGGGTAGAAGTCCTTCATATCACTTATTGCCTGTTCCTTTTTAACTGGAGATGCCAGGGATTGAACCTGGGACCTTCTGCATGCAAACCAGAGGCTCTTCCACTCGGCCACAGCCTCTTCTCTCCCACTGCTACTCGGCCATTCACTATAGCTCCTTGTCAGTGCACTGGTGACCCTCCAGCCCTGCACTGCTGCACCAGCCTGAGATCATCAACCTGTGGCAGAAAGCGGCTGCCGTAGGACCAGGAGGCACTGCTCAAGCAGAACTGCCTTGACGGCCTTCCTTCTGCTCCCACATAAGCTTGGCCACATGAGGTGTGTGCATCATGAGAAGACCACCTCATTATTCTTAACCTTTAAAACACTACTGCCCACTGGGTATACCACATTATCTGCTAGTTATCAGGAGTCACTGCAAGTGGAGGGGGCTGCCTAAAAATTGTAAACAGCTACCATTTGCCCCCAAATGCCCCTCCAGCTCTTCCTCCTTCTCTATTGTCCAGCCCATTAGTTAAGATCCTCTGCTCAAGCCCTGCTCTCTGCTTCCCCAACAGCACAGGTGAAGCAGGCAGTGATCAGAGAAAGGGCTTTTCTGGTGGTGGCACCTCGCCTTTGAAATGCACCCCGCCCCATACCTACCATACTTTCCTTTAGGTACCAGACCAAAGCAGTTCTCTTTACCTAGGCTTTCAGCTAAGGATACGTATTTGTTTTATGATCTGGTCTGAGCCCGAGAACTATTTTATCTGTACCATTTCAAGCTATTGTTCATTTTATGCTGCTTTCTTTTTACTGTTTTTATTGACCAGTTCTTATTGGCTTGACTCACTTTTTATTCTTCTTGCTGGTATTGTGAGCCACACTGAGCAGGTTCTGGAGATATGACATACACTTCTCAAAATACAGAAACAAATATTCACAGACTGTCCTCCTGGAGGGCTGTATTCCCCACCTTAAGAGTCACTGGGCTAGCTATATCCAGGTGTTCAACGTCACCCCACTGTCTCCTCCACTGTCGCCATCCTACAGTCTCAACAGGCTATCCTGGATGAGGAGACTTTGATAACAGGAGTGAGCAGAGGCTGTTCAGTATATTTCAAAAGACTACTCCTGTGGACACACTATCAATCTCCATATGAGAACTAGTCTCCCCTCTTTATACTCTGTATTCGTGGTGCTTGGGGGCCAACAGTGGGAGGGGCCTCTGGAGCTCTGGCCCTGTTGGTGGACCTCCTGATGGCACCTGGGTTTTGGCCAGTGTGTGACGCAGGGTGTTGGACTGGATGGGCCACTGGCCTGATCCAACATGGCTTCCCTTACGTTCTTACTGCACATTTAGCTATATACACAGCAGCCACAGGGAGAAGCCACAGAAGTTACTGCTGCTGCTTTTACCATCACTGAAATTGTCCAGTGGGAAGCAAGGAAGGCAGTGAGCACCTGGCACTGGTGACTCCTCCAGCCGACTTTCAGCTGTGATTGCAGAGGAGGTCGTTAGCTTCTCTAGAGACGGGGAGCTGTTTCAAAGGGCCAGGGAGCTGCCACACTCAGCTCCACTATCCTACGCAGGGAGGTGAACCGGTATGTGGCTGATGTTTCCATAACATATAACCGTGTTTATAAATGACATGCAACTGGGCCCCACCAGCTGCAAGTTTATCACGTGGATCGCTTTCCGACAAAGGAAGCTTTGACTCTCGAAAGCTTATACTCCGAAAATCTTGTTGGTCTCTAAAGCGGTACTGGATGCAAATCTAGCGGTGGGTAAAACAGGGATAATGTGCGACATCTGAAAGCATGCTGCAACGGAGACCTGAGTCCAGGAGCTCAGGAAGGGTTCACAGAGCGGCTCGATGGGAAAGAGATTCAACTAGGAAACCAGGTAGAACGAATATGGCTTAAAAAAAAAACAACTTAGCAAAAAGGAAAGTTGCAAGACAAGCTCCTGTGGAATACAAATGTCACAAGAGTCTACAGTCTATGACACTCAATAGCTGTCTGCAGAGATGCAGGCCCACCATGCTCTGATAAGACTTTTCCAAACATCTATGAAAACACAATGAAATGAAGCAGTCTTATCATCCAAACCTGAACATGTCATGAAGGAGACACGAACTAGAGATTTTTTCACGCACACCCTCCTTTGCAAGTTGCTCAACTATGAAAGACACGCTGGTTTCAATACCAAAAAAAAGCAGCAAAGTTTTGCCAAACCATTAACATTTCAATCCATTTGCAGGATGGAGGCAATTTTATTGCAGTTCACATAATCGGTGCTATAGTGTTAGCCCTCTAACAACAGACTGGTGAACATTTTCACTGTTGCTTACGTAACCTCTGCTTAAACATTTTTAAATTAATTGTAAAAACCTAAGTTTTAATGAATGTTCATGCCAAAGCATTTTGAATTCACTGGCTTTACCATCCTAGATACTAGCACCAGACGTTTCCTGGAGGTCGCAACGACCACCATAAAAACATCTCCCCTCCGTATGGGTATTAATAAGTTATAAGGCATTAAACTTAGAGGGGCGAGGGTGGTTTCCAGGCACTCTGGGACTCTGCTGTTACTCCTTATATAAAGTAGAATTTGGGCAAGAGGTCCACATGATTCAGAGACATTTATACGGTTAACACACCAGATATCAAGAACAGAACGTATCTTTTTACTATCGCTCCTTTTGTTGCAACAAAGTCCCTGAGTTAAAGGCTAACTCTCCATGCTCAGATTGCTCGGGGAAAAAAGGAGAGAGAGAGAATGGACCCACCACAAATTCTCTGGTGGCAAGATCCAAACTGTTTACTTCCTGAGCTTGACATCTGGTAAACCTTTCCAAAAAATTAAGTGAAGCAGGTCCCCCACTGTTGAACTGCAGCTGTGAACTGCCAAACTCTAAAAATAATGATGTACAAAGAGCACACAGCCTTCAACACCCCTAGAAGAACACGCACAAATGATCGTATCTGAGTACTACAAGCAACGTGCCAAATGTGGAAGGCCATTTTTAAACACCCCCACGGCTTGTTCAGGCGGGGGGGGGGGGGAGTAGTAATTGCAGGCTGATTCTGGCACAAGGTTTTCCCTCCGTGGAGGGGGGACCCCCTGTGGAAAAATTCATCTGGATGTTTCCGGGAACAGACCAACAAGTATCCCGCTCGAAGATCTTTGTTCAGAAATCGAGTACTTTTTAAGAGAGTGTAGGAAAAAATGTTACATTCAAAATAGTTCAGCTATAGTTTGTCTTTCTTTACAAACAATGCTAGCTCATTTTTTTTTAACTTTTATTTTGACCCAAATCTTCTGAAACTAGCATGACTCTTGGTTTTCAATGGCTCTAGTTTGAGTTCTGTAACCCTGAGAGACACCTAATACATTTTTGGGCATAAGCGCATACTGCCCTGGGCTTTATACTCCAAGCCTGTCATAACAATAAGCAGCTAGTTCACAAAACTGTAATAATATGTTATCTGCAACTATTATATTTGTAGGGTGTGATGCACCCATCCTTTTACCTCTTAGAGGTTTGCAACTTACAAAAAGCCCACCAAAAAAACAGCATAGTAGGTGGGGCATGAGCTTTCGTAGGCGAGAGCTGAAAGGGTATGGAAAGGTAGGCACACGGGAAGATGAAATTAGCAAAGCAAGATAGGTACGACATGCAAGTGCTATAAATAAGCAGCCATCTTCTCCCTTCTTCCTGAAATGGCTTCAGAAGGTGAAATTTTCATTACCATTATACTCTAAGTAGATGAACAGCAGCATTTTGGGGAAGCCGCTTCCCCTGTATTCTATTAACTGCAGTGGTACAGTCATGCAAGAAGACTATACCAATTCTGTGACTGAGGTTCAGATCAGCTCTGAGTGTCCTGCTTCCAAGGCTGATAGGGGCATTTAAAATTTCCTTGCCACTGGAGACTCAACTCCTTCTCTGGTGCACCACAACGAAGTCATTTCCAAATTGAACAAAATACCAAAGCGGCCCACGACAGGGATCAGAAGCACACTCTACACACAGGCAAACTCACAAAGCATATAGTGCAATGGGTAATCCCACCCTCACCAAATGACAAACCTTATATGTTAGGTTAATTTTACTAGGAATGAATGTGACATTCAAAGTTATTTCCTAATGGAGTCTTTAGAAAGCAAGGTTGCAATGGTATAAAAATAATTAAAACATCTATAACCTGTTTCTTCACCAAATCTGAAGCAGCTGATAACAAAATTAGAAAGCAGATCAATGCAGAGCTTCCCATCACAAGAAGCAAGTATCAAATAGTTAATTGATCAGAACTGCCAATTACATAGCCCAGGGCCATCAGATCCCCTGTTCTCCCAAAAAACAAAAATCCACCCAAAAGAGAACCCTCATTAAGCTTGATCTAAAAAATTTTTCTTTGCACGATCAGAAGACACACATGATGCAGCAACCGGATTCAAGCTATTCAAGTCTTGGTTTATTCAGTGCCTGGATAAGAGATACCCTGATAGTGCATATGCTGCCCTAGAGTTCATGATAGGAAAAAAAGAAGAGATTGGATTTATACCCTGCCCTTCACTCGGAGCCTCAGAGCAGTTTACAATCTCCTTCCCTTCCTCTCCCTGCAACAGACACCCTGTGAGGCAGGTGGGGCTGAGAGAGCTCTCCCGAAAACTGCTCTTTCAAGAACACCTCTGACAGAACTGTGACTGACCCAAGGTCACCCAGCTGGGCGCGTGTGGAGGGGTGGGGAATCAAACCCAGTTCTCCCAGATTACAGTCCGCCACTCTTAACCACTACACCAAAAGCAGATTGATACTGTAATAAAATACAATTAAATTAATGAGCCCTGTTTTACTCGGTGGAATTCAGTCACAAGTAAGCATGCAGAAGATCTGTTCCTTAAAAATAAGGGGGGGGGGGGGGAGTTTAACCTGAATTCATAAGTTTCCAGAGTTGATCCACTAGCGCTTCATTGCACAAAGGAGATTCCATGTTCTTGGTAAACGGCGGATTCTTGGTCAACATGTTCAAGATCTTGTGTCTAAAAGACAATAAGAATTGACTTTTTAATTTATACAAACACAAGTTTTCTGTTCCTAAGTTTCTGCCTTTCTCCTGCTTCATATACAAAAAGCCAAATTTGTCCCTCAGTGATCACAACATTTTAGGAAATCAAGCTCAGTGTACTTGTACAGGATTTTAAAAATATGTCAAGCAACTATTTCAAAGAAGAGTCCTGGGGCAGTAGAGATCAGTGGAAACAAGAAAAAAAAACCTGAAAGGGGGGGGGAATCTGAAAAGAGACTGCAGTGTTCAAAGGCCACTATTATCTGAGTCAGTAGGGGTACCTACCAACTCACGCTGGCAGATTTTAAACCAACAGGGCACAATGTTCTTCTACAAATATGTCATTTATAATCTTTGTCCTCCAGCTACAGACTAGAAACCAGTTTATACTTCCCTTGGTTTCCAAACATAACGAGGCCCGCTCTCCTCTGATACACTGGGACTACTGTGGATTCCTTCGAAAGGAAAGACGTTTTCAAGAAATCCCCCCCTTCTATAGCCAAAATGCTTAGAGTGGGATGAAGGCCTCCGTATGGAGGTGTGGGACGGCTGTTGGGAAAAGTACCAGAAGAACACGTGTAAACTTTCTTTTGCCACGAGGAGCTCTTTTCCCTTAGGGAAGTAGAAGAGTGCTGCCCTTTTGCTTAATAATGACAAATGACCTACAGTTCTAGACATGAACCATTCAGTTGACTCAGATGGCTAACAAAATTCTTTTTTTTTTAAAGTACCCATAGGTACACTTTTATTATTTTTCATATTATACACATACATCAGGGGTCATTTCCTGCAGGTGCACACAGGAGCGGAGCTCCGGCAGTAAAGAGCCCAGGGGGCAGGGACATGCAACAAGCCCCGCCCCCTGCTCCCAACAGCCCTCAGTCACAGCAAGAAGCAGTCAGGTAAGTTGCAGAGCGCCCCCCCGGCCCCCCAGTCCAAAACAGTCCAGTGGCACCTTTAAGACCAAGTTTTATTCAGATACAAGCTCTCCCTCCTCCGCGAGGACAGATCTGCATATGCAAATAAGTTATGCTAATGAGTTCCTGCACCTCTTTTTCTACAAAATGACCCGACATACATACAACATATAAACAAACAACCACTTACATACATAAGACATACAAAGAGATCAGTATATTTTCTTATTTATTACCATATTTTAAAATTTTCTTAAATCACTTTCTATAGGTTTGCTTAAGTTTCTGTATACTCTTATCTTTTTACCATAGTTTCTATTAAACTAAAAGAGATTAATAATACCAAAAATTTCATTACTTTAAACTATGCATTTATGTTATACCAGTCATACAGTTTTTTCCACGTCTTTTGAAATGCTGGGCCTGTTGTCCCTCTCATCAACAATGGCTAACAAAATTCTGACAGTAGTGGAAGGTGGGAGAGTTTTCTTCTTGACTCTGGAACAATTGTCATGCTCTGTGTTAGGAAAGTGCCCGTCAGCACCATTCCTGGCGCCCACCAAGTGTTTTCAGAAAGTGGGTGGGGTCAGGCAGGGCTCCTACGCAACAGGACTTCTGATGGGCCACTGGAGATCTGATTGGCTGGGAAGATTAAAACAGCCGCCGCCGCCACTACGGTGCTGGTTTTATTCTCACGCCTATTTCCCAGCGTATTTTTAGAAACGACTCTTCTTTGCCCTTTGCCCTCGGGCTTCCTCTGTGTGTGTGTGGCTGGCTCCACCTCCCACGGTGGCCTCTTTGCAGTGGCGCCCATCATCCTAAGAATTCCACAGATGCCCAAAGGCTCAAAAAGGTTGGGGACTCCTGCTCTACATTAAGAACAAGACACGTCATGGGATTTCCATCTTCTGAAACCGAGAAGGTTCGGGCCCATTTAGTACCTGAGAACCCTATGCAATGCCAGCGATTTTTTTAAAGCAGAGGGCTTTTAAACGGGTTATTCAAAATGGATTACTGCAAATCAAAAGTACTGTTAAAAATAAACAGAAGGGAAAAGAAAAATGCAGGACTCTGCCTGCCTGTTTGGAAGACTAACCTTACGTAGGGCACAGGATCATTCTGAACCATATTCAGCAGCCACTGTAATTCCTCATAGCTTCTGTCAACTATAAAGACAAAAACATAGGACATGCTCAACCAGATGGCGGTCTCAAGAAGCCAGAAGTTCTTAGAAACTTGGGGTAGATACGAAGCACTTTCCCTCTCAGTCTCATCGGATTTCCCCACTAGCTCACACTGACTCAGTTTAGAGGGAACACTGCTCGTTACACTTCCTGTCCTACGCTGCTTTTGTCAGCTTGGGTCCTGCGACCCCAGGCATAACCTGCATCATTTTCAAAAGGGGCCAGAAATGTTGGTGGGATCTCACCCCTCCACCTTGCAACGCCCAGCCATATGGGAGTGGGTACAGGTTTAGGCCACACTCACAGGTCATGCCCAAAAGCAGTAAGGCGCAGGAGACCCCGCAGGAACCATCCCTTGTGTTGTACGCACATTTTATGAGCCACTTTGTACTCTGCTACTGCCTAACAGGTTTAACTTAGTAGGTATACTTAGCGCTTCCATAATACATATGATTCTAACATCATGAATGTATTCAGGTATTAACTTTGGTTCATTTGTGACTGTTATTTGAATGCATGCTGGGAAGAAGGCTGAAATGCTGATACACAGTTATGCTACCCATGACCTTGCTTGTTCTGGCCAGCTACAACTGCACATGTTTCTGATGTCAGTTCGCCTAGCTAGAATGAAGAACAGTAAGCACTCTGTAACCATATCAGTTGTATAGATACAACATGCAACTTCATAGCTTCCAAAAGAAAAGTATATTGTTCTGCTAGGAAAAAAAGAACTCTGCCTGGGAACCACCCCCCCCCCCAAATGGGAAATAGGTGATGAAATTTGACAATGCTTGATGGAACCAATAATTCTGTTTTATTTCTCTGATGTAATGTGAAGTATAAAACCCTATGTCTCCCATTGTAACCTTAGGGAGAGCTGTGGGGTCCAAAATCTTATTGGATCTGCACCTCCCTCCTTTGTTGATCAATAAAGTACAAGGTCTGATTCTCCTCTACAAGACTGCTGTGTGCTTTCTCAAATTGGGCTGGGGGAGCACAACCTTTGACGGAGTTTCTGTCTTACACGCGTGAAGAATTGCCAAAGGTGGAAGGTTTACAGGGCTCTGTCACAGGCAAGTCAACCAATGCAGAACGCAATCCCTGAAGCTAGAAAGTGGGACTCTCCCTTCTGATGGCAAAGACGGTGCCTGTACGTCTGAGCAGAGCCTTCTCCGCTGTGTCCTCTCCCAGGGAACAGCCTTCCTGAGGCCAGAAAGCCTCCCACTCTCCTGGCTTTCTGCAGGATATGCAAAAGTGAATGATTCAAGAGGGCTTTTCTATGCAGGTAACAGGGCTGCACTGTCCAAAATCGTTCACAAAGTTACCTGGATAAAGGATTTAGGGAATGTGGCCTATACTACTACTGTGTACACCTTGCCATTAAAAGTAGGGACCTGCTGTGTGATTTTGCATCATTTAATGGGTCCTGTTAATACTTTTTTTTTTTTGCTCCAGCTCTGTTTTTAGACTTCTGGTTGTCCCAGAGTTCTACGATCCTAATCCTAGTGCATCGCCTATTGAATGCCCCATTCTGTTGATTGTCCTGACTTACTCCACCTTGAGTCCCAATGAGAAAGGGAGACCATAAATAATGTAAGTAAGTAAATAAATAAATAAATAAATAAATAGCATGTCCTGGTCTCACACAGCACAATGCAGGGGAAAAGCTCCCAAGCTCTCCCCTCACACAGAGATCTTAAGCAAAACCCTTTCCATGTGCGGACCCACCCATATGCCCTGAAAGCAAGGGAACACTCTGTGCTTTTCAGTACCACATGAATGACTCATGGACAGAGAGTAAAAAAAAGCCAAGCTGCACCTTTAAGACTAACAAACTGTAACTGTAGCATAAGCTTTCGAGAAACACAGCTCTCTTAGTCAGATGCTAACTTTTCTTGATCTATGATCATGGACAGATAAGATACATTCCTGGCTGCCACTGGAAACTCAACAACTGTCCCAGTTTCTTGTCTCTGTAAGGTAAAGGGTGTCATCGAGTTGCAACGGACTCATGGAGACCCCATGAAGTTCCACCTCATGGTTTTCAAGGTGAGAGATGAGTACAGATGGCTTGCCATTGCCTTCCTCTGCTTAGCCGCCCTAGTCTTCCGGGGGTGTGTGTCTCCCATCCAAGTTCTAACCACGGCTGACCCTGCTTAGCTTCTGAGCTCTGACAAGATCGGGCTAGCCTGGGCTAATTAGGGCTGCTTCTTGCCTCTGCATGGGCCAGACACTGGGTGGCCTAAATGGCTCCAAACTTATACAAATGCAAAATAAAGCACAGAAGCTGCTTTATAGGGATGCAGATATTCAGATCAGGAGGTGTTTGCGATTTCATATAGTGGTTTCGTTCTACCTTCCAGCTACTGTGTTTGCGTAACATTTTTTTAAAAAGCATTCTACAGTGACCTTCCATTTAAACTGTGACTTTTAAACACGTTCCATTTAAACACGTGATCTCACTACTGGATTGTTTGAAGTGCTTTGCTTAAACAGAGAAGGGTATATTTATTTATTTATTTTTGAGATTGTTATTCCGCCCTCCCCAAAGTGAGCTCAGGGGGATCACAAGAAATCATGTTAAAAGGGTTAAAAACCATGCAACACTACAAAAGAGAGAGCGGCTTTTAAAGTGCTGCACCAGTGGCACTTAACCAGTGGCACCTAGATTATCTAAATTTCCTCTCTCAGCAGTGTGCTAGTTTGGTACCTCCCCTAAAGCAGAGTACATTCATTTATGGTTGTCCAAAGAATATAAGAGAAGCCAATATTGGGTCAGGCCAATGGCCCACACAGTCCCACACTCTGTGTCACACAGTGGCCAAAAGCCAGGTGCTAGCAGGGCCAGAACTCCAGAAGCCCACCCACTGTGCCCCCCCAAGCACCAAGAATACAGAGCATCATTGTCCCAGAGGTCAAGTTCATTGGAAAACAGCACAACAGGCAGTTTTGAAATACAGAGACTGGTCCTCAATTTGAAACTTGAAATTTATCTGTTAAGTTGGTCTCACAGAGGTACTGCTATATACTCTGACTTCTGCAAGGATGGAATTTGCACACTACTGGAAACAACCAACACTGCCTGGCAAATTAGAATGGTTCCTAAAAGATATGGGACTTGTCTGTTCATTTCTAACAGCAATTCAAAATTCTAAGACTATTTTAGATGACAAAAATTGGCAACAATTAGCTGCATGAAAAAACAAGAATCCTTAAGCTCTTAGAAATGAATGGATGAGAAAGGAATAACTAGAACTGTGTCCATTCTCTTCCTCCATTTGTTTTTAATTTGCGGGCTGGATGTATCATTTGCTCTGCATACTGGTTCTAATTGTGTATTGTCGCATTTAAATTAAAAATATTTTTTTAAAGTGTGCGAAATTTGAGATATACCGCTATGATTACCTAGTACTAATAACAGAGCCATGAATGAGGGCCTTGTCCTACAATAGCCACTCACTCAGAGCCAAACTGCACATTACAATGCATGTGAGTCCACCTCAGGGACTGACAGCCATATCACAGCGGTGAGTTCCTGGTGGGCTCTATTAAAAGTGCCGTGGGGACCTGACTCAGCACTGCAAAATTGGCATGGGGGAACAGGAGCCCCTCCTACAACCATGCTGTGTTCCCAATCTGAATCTGGCCTCTAAGCACTTTGAAATGGAAATCCCACCAGAAAATGGAGTTCCTCCTAGGAAGCTGCAACTGCAATATGGCTGCCAGTCCTTGTGGCAAAGTCCTGTAATGTTAATTTTGCACTTACAAAACCCGGATAGAAAGGATGTTCTCAGGAATGCAATTATGGAGAAGACTGAAATTCTGTTCCCTGCTGATCCCCAGCCATTAAGAACCAAGTCCACTCCCATCCTGGGTTCTGTTCTGCTCTGTGTTCACTCTAAAATGTGATCGAATGTCCAAAGAATGGGCCAGAAGCCAGAAATCAACAATTATACACATGTTACAGGGAAATATAAGGTAATGGGTACCATGATAAACTGAATGGTTAAAAAATAAATCACCTTTTGTATAGTCGACAACTGCCTCCAAGGCTGCTATTCGGATATCCACAAAGTGCCCGTATTCTGCATATGACTTAAAGACAGCAGGATCGCTTGGGACGTGCCCGTTCTTCTGCAGTATGCGAATGGCATTCAGGCAGCTAGTATGCACGGGAGGGGAGAAAGGGGAGGGGGGGGGGGAAAGGTTCTGCTTGAGAATTCTGAATGTTCCGTCCGAGGAAAGAAATTCAGCTTAGCACTGTGCAGGAATTTACACTGCCATTTGCTAAGTAATACCTAACGTGTATGATAATTCTCAGAAGCTTGCAAAAATGACTTTTCAATTTAAAAGAAAGACATTGTTCAGTATTTCCTCAAGTGTTTGTCCAGTTTACACAGAGCAAAATGTGGTATTCTGTTGCCCTCATTCCCCATGGCCAGGTGCAAATATCTGATGCACAATGCGCACTTAATTCTTAATGCCACGCTACTGTTAACTGTAGATTTCCCCCCATTCTTTAGTTGTGCAAGACCAGAAGAAAACAAACTTGCAGTTTCAATTCCACCAAATGCTCTGATTTTAGAAGTGATGATGATGCATGTGTGTGTGTATGTATGTTTTCCTCATACTCTTTGTAGTATTTTTAACAGGACTGCATTGGTGCATAATCACTCTCCCATTTATCTTCTGGCTTTTGTGCGTTTATTAATAATACTGAGAAGGCAATTGAAAGCGACAGGTCTGCAAGATCAGAATGAACCACTGTGGCTCAGCAAGATAGAAGTGCCGAAGATAAAGTTTACAGACTGATGTTGCGGCAGTACATGAAGTTACGGAATCATACCTGACTGTAATGGCGTGCCTGTAACTGGGGAGTAGCTTCTCCATGTTTAAGAACCGAGTAATTTCTTCAAGAATGAGGCGAACATCAGGGTTTAAATTATCCAGTGTCCGGGCTTCGTTGTTCACACTGACAGCGGGGGTCACAGAGTTTGCCAGCGCATCTATCAGTTCCGCTCGGTAATAGTTGTCTGAAAACTAAAGCCACAGACCAAAACGTAAACCGACAAGCCGTGCAGAATGGGCCACTATAAACAAGAGGGACCTACCTGAAGGCAGGTTCCACTGAGTTTGTTTCCATACAAAAATCTGACCTTGCCACCAGATTTGTTGTTGCTGTTGCTGTCGAGTCACAGCTGACTTACAGCGACCCCGTAGGGTTTTCAGGGCAAGAGATGTTCAGAGGTGGTTTGCCACTGCTTGCCTCTGCATCACGACCCTGGTATTTCCTGGTGGTCTCCCATCCAACTACTAACCAGGGCCGACCCTGCTTAGCTTTGGAGATCTGATGAGGTCAGGCTAGCCCGGGCTACCCAGGTCAGAGCTGCCACCAGATAGGTAAAGGTAAAGGTTCCCTTGCTCGAAAGCCAGTCGAGTCCGACTCTAGGGTTGCGGTGCTCATCTCCGTTTCAAAGCCGAAGAGCCAGCGCTGTCCGAAGACGTTTCCGTGGTCATGTGGCCGGCATGACTCAACACCAAGGTGCACGGAACGCTGTTACCTTCCCACCGAAGTGGTACCTATTTATCTACTTGCAATTTCTTGCTTTCGAACTGCTAGGTTGACAGGAGCTGGAACTAGAGACGGGAGCTCACTCCGCCAGATAGGCATCAGTAAAATCCCCGTCTTCAAAGGGACTTACAGCCGTGTGAATGAGTTACAGACACAGATGTAAACCAGGGGTCCCCAGTGTAGTGCCTGTGGGTTTTATGATATCCACCGACACCTTTCCTGGAACCCACCCCCTGTTTTTAGAAGTGGCAGGGTCACATGGTGCTCCTGTCCACCAGAGCTTCTGATGGGCTGTGCAAAGTAAAATGATATTTTCTTTCACCGCAGAATTGATTTTTTCTCTCTCTCTTAGTCCACTCCCCGGTGTATTTTAAAAAAATTACTCCTCTTGACTTGGGCGTTTTTTCTGTCATTGGCTCTGCACCCCACGGTGGACATTTTGTGGCTGGCTCCGCCTCCCGTGGTGGCTATTTTGCAGTTGCACCCACCGCCCTGTGTCAGAATTCCCAAGGTGCTCACTGGCTGAAAAAGACTCAGTACCCTGATGTAAACAGTCTACTTAAAACCAAATCTTTTGCTACAGGATCAATGCCATTGCTGGTCCATCTCAAACTGCTCCATAATGCAAGAATGTAGGGATCATGTGAGCAGAGTGAAATTATACAGGGGAAAATCCACTCAAACCAAATGTCGGACGAACACACAGAACATATGCACTAGGAAGTGCTTTCAGATGTCTAAAAAGTGTTGTGATCAATTCCTGGTTAAGTGTGTTGTCTGAATGCATACAGTCCAGCAAACTTGGGTTTGTTGGCTAGCACTAAACCAGGATTATAAAACAAAATTTGTATTGACTATGTTTTTTTCTGAAGTCTGACTTTACAGACCAATTTGATGAGCAGCACTTCCCCTCCAGCTACCTGCAGCTGAGAGCAGGGCTTGGAAAGAGAGCTTAACCAGCAGGCTAGAATGTCAAGTGTGCTGCTCATGTGGTGTATGAATTAGGTTACACTTCTGGGAAGTGAAGAACACGGAAAAGCCAAACCCTACATGATTCTATAGCGTTTAAAAATTGGTAAAAAACCCCACGTGCACTGCTGCATTTAGGGTAAGGCATACAAACACATGTCATATGATTACATAAACACAGGCTGATCTGCCAGACAGTTTGTCCTCTGCACACCAAACAGTGAGATCATGAATGTTTAAAAACAGCTTTTTACCTTGTTTTTTCTATTGTCGTTGTACTTGATTAGGTCTAAAATGAACGTTAAAACCTCTTTGGGACACAGATTATGAACATCTCTCAGCAAGGCCATTGCAACGGGCATTGTCTGTGAGAAAAATTAACACATTAATGAGGAATTGATTTGATTTAAATATTTAACCACAAACTAGCTCGTGGAAAATTACTTCTGCCTTGAAAAGCGACAGTGTGAAGTTCTAACTTTCAATTCTACTTGAGTAGCCTCTCTAACAACAGGGCCAGTTTCATATCAGGCAACAGCCAAGTGGAAGGTTTCCTGAGATTCAGGTTCGTAACTCTGGGGAGGCCTTGGCTTAAGGCAAAAACTGCCATAGTAGATCATATTAACTAGACCAGCAGGTCTCCAACTAATGTACCCCAGCAGCTCATAGACAGTCACAGAGAACCAGCCTTTGTGATTTTCTCTCCAAGACATGTTAATTAAAACTTTGGGGGGGGGGGTTTAACCTTTCTGAGATGGAGGTACAGAACTATAGAAATGAAGGCCTAGGGAGAAAAGGTGCCCCCCCATTTTTGAGGACCTTTTAAAAATTTTACAACTGGAAAATTTGGGGGTGCACTAAAACATTCCTGTGAAATATTTTCTTTTTTAGAGTGAGTAAAACACTTCTTAAGGCAGTATTTTTCATACTCACGACATATAGCATTGAAAAAGGCTTAGGACTTTGCAATTTGTCAAATAGGAGAACTAGGAAATTTTGGGGTACACTGAAAAAACTCTGTAGACATATACAACATATTCGAGACTTCTTTGTTTAAATGTAAATAATTTTGGCAACGTTAATATTATATAATGTATTTAACGACAATACATTATTAAAGAGTTCAGTGTTTTCAACATTATAAAGTTTAGCTTAATATCCAAACATGCTGGTAGTTTTGCCCACACTGACTATGATGGCGTTTCTGTCCAAATAATACACTGATTTGTTTACTACTGAGTTGGTTTTCTACCTTTAACTTTCATTGTTTCCTGTCTCTCAGATGGCAAACATTAAACATATATTTGCTATGGTACCACAGGGTGCAACAATTTGCATATCTTTGTCAAATACTGGGAATACTTCCAATTTTTCTTATACAAAAATTGAGATATTGATAATTCTAAATTCCATTCATATGTCAAAAAGTACAAGTTTATATAGTAAGTTATGAACAACATGTCTTAGGTTATTAAATCAGTAAAATAAATGAAGGTTTGATAGGAATGTAAGTATTGCATGTATTTCAAAACCCCCAAATTTCCATTTTTGTCAGAAAAAGCCCTCCCCCCCCAAGGGTTCAGAGTTCCTGGGAATTTTATATCTCTATCTAGAACTGTGCACAGTACTCCCAGTGTGGTCAAATCACAAATTTAGCCATTTCCAAAAGAGTGTTGATATTATCACAATAAATACAGCCGATCACTTGCCATTCCTATCTTTAGCAATCCAGGGCTGCTAATGGAAGTTAACAAGAGATGACGAATACATCTTTACCTTTTGCAGAAAGTAACTCTGAAAGTTCATGAAGTTGTTGGTTTTCACAATGTTGGGACAACTTTTACAGCAGAACATGCGGGTGAAGAGAGACTTCATGGCTGGCGGTCCTGTCCATGTGCTCACCATAAAATTTGCAATCTGGATGATCAGGGCGAAAAAAGGAGGCCATACTAACATTGACTGAGTACTCATCACACAGTTCTCAGCCCCCTCTTAATCACATCTATTCATCAAAGGGGCTTGTGGAAAACTGCAGCAAGTAAACAAAATGTTCAACTACCGAACAGGTAAAAGTTTTACATCAGTGGTTTGCAAAGCTTTCTACCCTGCAGTTGTCTGCTGGAGAGCTCCTGGACATTTGCTATGGTACTGCAAAGAATTCCAAGGTACAATTTTAGGGCATGCGCCCATTCTTGAAACCCTCTATGGGTTACTGGGTTAAATTCAAGGTTCTGGTTATCACCTACAAAGTCTTTCGTGGTCTTGGACCCACATACCTGTGGGACCGCCTCTTCTGCTACGCCCCGCCATAACATCTTTGCTCATTTGAGTAAAGCTTTATCTATCAAGGTAAAGGTAAAGGTTTCCCTTGCTCGAAAGCCAGTCGAATCCGACTCTAGAGATGCGGTGCTCATCTCCGTTTCAAAGCCGAAGAACCAGCGCTGTTTGAAGACATTTCTGTGGTCATGTGGCCGGCATGACTAGACGCCGAGGCGCATGGAACACTGTTACCTTCCCACTGAAGTGGTACCTATTTATCTACTTGCAATTTCTTGCTTTCTAACTGCTAGGTTGGCAGGAGCAGGGGCCAGAGATGGGAGCTCACTCTGTCATACGGCACTCGGGTCTCTAACAGCTGAACTACCGACCTTCCGGTCTGCAATTCAGCGTCTTAACCACTTGAGCCACCCAGGTACCACCCTGCAAAAGGATAAGATCGGCAACTTCCCGTTCACGCACATTCTCTGGGGTGGCTCCCACTTTGTAGAACGGCCTGCCTGAGGTGGTCAGGAATTCCCCCACACACACTTCAATCATCTTGCAGAATATGTGAAACAGAAATGTTCAGGAGGACATTTTTACTAAGGGATCAGAACAACTGCATAACAGAACAGCACAGAAGGGGCAGATGGACAGAAGAAGAGCCCTGCTGGATCAGACCAGTGGTCCATCTAGTCCAGCATCCTGTCTCACAGAGTGGCCAACCAGTTCCTCTGGAGGTCCAACAACAGGGCATAGACGCTGAGGCCTTCCCCTGTTGTTGCCTCCTGACTCTGGGATTCAGAGGCTGACCACCTCTGAACATGAAACTTCCCTTTGGCCACGAGGCCAGTAACCACTGATAGACCAGCCTTCCACAAATCTTTCTAATATTAAAAAACATAAGAAAAGCCCAGCTGGAACTGTATTGTGCACATCACTTCCCTTTCTAACTACAATGTCCTCTACGTCTCTAACCCTCTTTCTTCATTCTATTATCCAATGGTCAGGGCATTGCAAGGATAGATAAGTTAATGGTGGACAACAGCTATTTTCAAACAGGATTTCTGCCATTGCTGACCATCTCGCCACAGAAACCTGATAATTGTCTGAAGATCCCTGGTGAGTGGGGGCCCAGAGAACACTGTTTGAGAACCACTACTTACCGTAAAATGAAAGCGCTACCTAAAAACCAGACAGCCTCCCGTCACCGCAGCTTCTATAAATTGGAACTACAGTATGTGGAAACGGTTTGCACTTACAGGACATCTGCAACTAATTAGCTTCCCGTAATCCATAACTGACTTTACTTGTTCCCTCTACCGCCACAATTTACATTTCAGAAATATTTGTTTTAAGTTGGTAAGCTACATATTCAGCATCTGCAGAAGCCAGTCACTCAAGAGGCATTCGCGTTACCCGTTTCCTCAATTTACCCTGCCAACAACCTCACTGCAGATTTTCACCATGTCTCAGCCACCCTGAAAGTACAAGACCACCTGAAAACAAAGAGACAATTCAGAACCCCGTTTAGGTTTAAATTATAGTCTAGAGCAGACAGAGCAGCGAAGTGATGTTAACAATCGGTACAACGGAGACAGAGCTCATCCAAACAACTTCAGTTTAGATATTCTGCTTTATAGAACGCTAGAGGCTTGCAGAAATTAACTGCACTTGCCAATAAAGACAGCTGATGGGACTCTACCGGTTGAGCAAGACCACACAAAAAGAGACAGAGGGAAAGGTGTATCAGAGTCTAGTTTTAAAATTTCAGGGAGGATTATATCAGGACCAGCTGCTTTTCCTGGTTTTAATTGGCCAATCAGTTCTTTTATTTCATCGGATGTTACATGAGGCCAGTCAGGTAAGTCCTCAGACAGAAAATCTGAGGGTTCCATAGTGCGGACGTCATCCTGATGGAATAATGTCGAAAAATATTGAAACCACACTTGGGGAGAAATAGCAGACACAGAGGGGGTCTCCGCACGACATGATCCCAAGACTGTGGCCCAGAATATTTTTGTATTATTTAAAATCATGGCCTGGTATAATTCTTCCCATTGTGTATTAATATATTCAATCATACTCTTGTAGTTGGCTCAAGTTTAAAGTATTCTATCAGAAAGAATGGATCAGTGGACTCACGGTATTGTCTGAAGACACTGCGTGATTGGGTTTTTAAGTTTCTACATTCCCTATCAAACCAGACATTTATAGGTCTACTACTCCCCCTATTTCCACTCTCAAGTTCTTTGCCCAGTGACATAGATATGTGAGATGTTAAAGCATTATAGGCTATGATCACTGATGAATGTTCATTTGAATCAATTAAAGAAGATCTATACTTTAGAAGTAGGTTTGATTTGAGTAATTGTTGGGTTTTCTGCATAAAGCTATCATTTCATAAGATCCCAGGCAATAGATCCCTGATGGATTAAAGTACCCTGGTCCTGCTCCTACATTTAAGAACATAAGAACATAAGAGACGCCAATGTTGGATCAGGCCAAAGGCCCATCCAGTCCAACACTCTGTGTCACACAGTGGCCAGAAATACCAGTGCCATCAGGAGGTCCAGCAGTGGGGCCAGGACATTAGAGAAGCCCTCCCACTGTTGACCCCCCCAAGCACCAAGAAGACAGAGAATCACTTGCCCCAGAACCCCTATCTATACCTTGTGGCTAATAGCCACTGATGGACCTCTGCTCCATATGCTTATCTATTTCCCTTTTGAAGCTGTCCATGCTTGTAGCCACCACCACTTCCTGTGGCAGTGAATTTCATGTATTAATCACTCTTTGGGTGAAGAAGTACTTCCTTTTATCCGTTCTAACCCGACCGCTCTGCAGTTTCATGGAGTGCCCACGAGTTCTTGTATTGTGAGAAAGGGAGAAAAGTACCTCTTTCTTTACCTGCTCTTTCCCATGCATAATCTTATAAACCTCGATCATGTCACCCCTCAGTCGTCTTTTCTCCAAGCTAAAGAGCCCTAAGCGCTTTAACCTTTCCTCATAGGGAAAGTGTTCCAACCCTTTTATCATTCGAGTTGCCCTTTTCTGCACTTTTTCCAAAGCTATAATATCCTTTTTAAGGTGTGGTGCCCAGAACTGCACACAGTATTCCAAATGAGGTCTCACCATTGATTTATATAGGGGCATTATTATATTGGCTGATCTGTTTTCAATACCCTTCCTAATAATCCCCAGCATAGCATTGGCCTTCTTTATTGCAGTCACACACTGTCTCGACATTTTCAGTGAGTTATCTACTACAACTCCAAGATCTCTCTCTTGATCTGTCTCTGCCAGTTCAGACCCCATCAATGTGTATTTATATTTAGGATTTTTGGCTCCAATGTGCATCACCTTGCACTTGGCCACATTGAACCCCATTTGCCATGTTGACGCCCACTCGCCCATCCTTGACAGATCCCCTTGGAGTGCCTCACAATCCTCACTGGTTTTCACCACCCTGAACAACTTTGTATCATCCGCAAATTTAGCCACTTCACTGCTTACTCCCATCTCCAAATCATTAATGAACAAGTTAAAAAGCAGTGGACCAAGTACTGATCCCTGCGGTACCCCACTGCTTACCACCCTCCACTGAGAAAATTGCCCACCTACACTCACTCTCTGTTTTCTATGAACTAGCCAGTTTTTGATCCATAAAAGGACTTGTCCTTTTATCCCATGATTTTTGAGCTTGCTTAGGAGCCTTTGATGAGGAACTTTATCAAAAGCTTTCTGGAAGTCAAGGTAAACAATATCTATTGGATCCCCCTTGTCCACATGTTTGTTCACCCCCTCAAAGAACATTAACAGGTTAGTGAGACAAGATCTTCCCTTACAGAACCCATGTTGAGTCTGCCTCAATAGGTTTTGTTCATCTATGTGCCTACTAATTCTTTCCTTAATAATGGTTTCCACCAATTTACCCGGTATCGACGTCAGACTGACTGGCCTGTAATTTCCCGGATCTCCTCTGGAACCCTTTTTAAAGATGGGAGTGACATTAGCTACCTTCCAGTCCTCAGGAATGGAGGCTGATTTTAAGGAGAGATTACATATTTTTGTCAGGAGATCCACAAGTTCACATTTGAGTTCTTTCAGAACTCTCGGATGTATGCCATCTGGGCCTGGTGATTTATCAGTTTTTAAGTTGTCTATCAGTTTTAGGACCTCCTCTCTCGTCACCTCAATCTGACTCAGGTCTTTCAACACCCCTCCTGAAATCAGTGGTTCTGGAGTGGGCAAGCACTTCTCATCTTCCACAGTGAAGACGGAGGCAAAAAATGCATTTAGCTTCTCAGCCATTTCCCTATCATCCTTCAGTACTCCTTTTACCGCTTGGTCATCCAAGGGCCCCACTGCCTCCCTGGCTGGTTTCCTGCTTCTAATGTATTTGAAGAAAGTTTTATTGTTGGTCTTTACGTTTTTTGCTATATGCTCCTCATATTCCCTTTTTGCCTGCCTGACCACAGACTTGCGTTTTATTTGCCATAGCCTGTGTTCCGTTTTATCAGCCTCACTGTGACTAGCTTTCCACCGCTTAAAGGAATCCTTTTTACCTTTTACAGCTTCCATTATTTTGTTTGTTAACCATGCAGGCTTTTTTCTATACCTGTTTGTGCCTTTCCTAACCTGCGGAATATATTTTT